TGCGCTGTGATTGTGCTTAACCCACTGAAGGAAAAAATCATTTCTTGGTGGCCCTCCTCAGCAGCTACAAAGCAGCTGCTGTGGCACAGCCCAGCTTTGTTAGAGATGTAGTTCTGCCTGGACTTTTCAAACTTACCACTGGTTTCAGTACACATGTATTTTTCCCCCAGCTGCTTACCACGTTGAGTAGAGACAGTGAATACAGAAGCTCTTCTGTGGTTTCTTATGGAATGAACTGAAACCATTTACTGAGAAAGCACAAGGCAGCCCAAGTTCATTTATATCCCAGTCCACATTCAGATCAGTTATTGTCATCACATTAAGTCTATTTCTAACGAAGCTTGGCAGCAGCAAAGTTTCATGTGGCTTTGAACAGCACTGCCAACTTTCCACATCATCCCAACAGCAACAGAGAAATGGATGGACAGAAACAACCATCACGTAAAGGCGTTTCCTGGCAGAGGTCACGCGAGATGCAAGGACAGAGCTGAACACAGCCTTTGCCTTCAGCAGACATCATGACCAGTCCCTCAGTTGACATCACCTCTGCTGCCTTCTCAGTGCAACAGCTATGCTACTACCTGTCTTCTCTGTGGCATCCATCCTTCCAAGGGGTTTTCAGATTTGTGCAGAGCTCACTCATGAAGCACCATCATGCACTGATGCTTGGCCTCTCTCACTGGGAATCCCTCTGCCACCCCAGTACTGCAAGCTGGCTCACACACCAACTGAATTAGCATGCATGCAATTTAGCAGAGACATGGGCTTCTAAAGGAGTCATTGAAGGGCACGGCCACAAGAACTGCCAGCATAGATCAAGATTAGCAGAGTGCATAAAGCACTTTGCTCCCAAAGAGATACTCTGATCACTAAATCCTCCCATTGATGTCCATTCATGGATATTGAGTCTCCTTAACCTGAAAGATGCCAACTCGATAACTGGCTCATAAAGTGCATGGCTTTACAAGAGCTTCTTTCAAAGTGATAGCCTACATACTAATGAGAGCAGCATGTGTCAATCTCAGTGTTAGGGACTTTACTAAACCAGTGTCTTCAAGAGATGTTCTTAGAAATGTCTCCCTTTTCTCTGCTCTTTTAGCACATTTCTATGTGAGGTTACCAACACCTCCACCAGTAAAATGAAGGGGAAGGACTGCAACATGCTTAGCATTCCTAACTTGCATTGCTGGGATGGTATCTCATATCCTGAAATACAATCTGCAGTAGTCCATCAAATATTAGGAGTCGTAACTTGTGGCCAGTAATGCTTTGCAGAAGTAATTCCCAGTGGCAGAACGCTCCATGAAAGGTCATTAACACAACACAAAGGTCACTGATGCAGCAGCCACTATGAGAAATCCTCTGGACTGTTACTACCAGCCCTAAGCAGCCCCAAGCAGATCTCCATTGCTTGTATTGCTCACCTCTGCGGTGGCACCAGACAACAAGATAACAGCTTCATTAGTGCAGTCAGTGAAGTCTTGTTCATTGCATTAAGAAATGGCACCACAAGTAATATTTAACTCATCTGGTGTTGTGCCCCTCTGTACAAAGAGAGTAGACTCCAGTGTCATTTGCAGGAGCTCATGAGCTAACTCTGACTTCTAAAAGCTGAAGTTTCTTCACTGATGCTTCCCTCAGTGACATAAATGTGATTTTACCAAAATAACTCATACAAAAAATGGATTAAAAAGAAATAGTCAGGAAAGGAAAAAAAAAAACCAAAATACAATTTCTTTACCCTTCACTACACAGCGCTTTCAGCACTGGTACCACCAGGCTCAAGAACTCTGAGCCCCATCCTTCTGCTCACCCCACAGCACTCAGGTGTCCCTGCCCTGCACACCCCCTGTATGGGCGATGGCCCTGCTGTCCTGATCTCCCCCTCTCACCTCACTCTGTAAGAGGCTCAGTGATGCAGCTTTCCTGCACAGTAGGGAAGCGAGGAGGAGCAAAACCGTATTGATTCAAATTTTCACTGTCTGGCAGTGTTTCAGCTCATTTTCTTGGGAATGATTACACGAGGGGCCGAACGCTGATGACTTCATGGGTCTTTTTATAAAGCAGCATTATGAGGGTGGATGGACAGAAGCAGCTGTAGAACTGCTCTGGCTCAGATGCTCTGCAGGCAGTGGCCATCAGCAAAGCACTGCCACCAAGGCAGCAGTGCTGAGACGTGGCTGCTTGTTGTGCTGAGCAGAATATAATGGGATTGGTGCTGCATAGGAAACAATTCAGAGACGACGACTTATCCAGGTGTGGAAACCTCTTGTGACACATCTTGTTGTGCCCCAGTTTGAGTTTGGCTTCTGCTCCTTAGGGCACATGTTCATTGCAGGATGGATTAATGCAGACACTCACTTTCCAGTCTGAAAATGAGGCACAACGCAGGCATGGTTACATCGAGCTCAAGTGCTTCACACTGCAGCAAGTCACCTTCGGTTTCAGCACTGCACTACAAAGATTCACAATCAAGGTAACTCCTGCAGAAGTGCTTTAATCCACAGAGTTCTGAGCATCATGTATGGAAGAAATACTTTTGTTTGCTTATTTTTTTGCCACTGACATTAAATCCAAGCAAACAGTTTTCAGTGTTGAGCAGAGCTCCCTGCTGAAGGAGGCTGAAGTTGCTCAAAGCTTTCAGCATTGCAAAGAAAGCCTGCAGAAATGCATGAAAATCTTCCAAGCAATTGCAAAGCTTCAACATGGGGTGTGTGTTGCTGGGGAAGGAAGAAGCTGAATGACTGCATGGAGCTGCCTCTTGCTCACCTCCAGGGGACTGCTGTCTTTGGCTGCAGCTGTGGGTGCCATTGGACCTGAGCTAACAAAGGCCACCTTGGGGTTAGACAGCAGAAGATGAGTCTAGCACATCCCTGGCTCTCCACACAAAGCTTTCCTTGTTTGCCCAAAATGGGATGCTGAGGGCAATGCTCTGCCAGTGGTGACACTTTCTGTGCCTAGAGCAAGTCCCTGTCAGGGCACAGGAATTACCTAAATTAACCCAAACGACTCCGTAGGTGAAAGGTGGGATCTGCTTTCCTAAAGGCAGGTACAGGTGATTTCCAGCAGCCACAGCTCCACTGTTCCATTGACCTCCTGCCTTCTGATCCTCACCACCTAGAGCCTGTTTCAACAGTCTGAATGACACAGAGAAACAGATTTCAACAGATTGCAAATAAAAGTAGTTTTATCACAGAGTTAGGTCTCCCATCCTCTGTGTCCAGGTACTCAAGAGGTGCCGTGAGGGACAGAAAGGAAGCAGATTTCTTCTGGTGGCAGTGCAGGCTTGAAGCATTTGGGCACCTTGGGGATGGCTCAATTCCTTCGAACTGGAAACTCTTTTTTTAAAGGATTTACAATAAAAAGGAGGATTCTGCCCCCATCTGGCCTTGCAGGAAAGAAACAGCCCAGGAGCAGCCAGACGAGCAGTGGCTGCAGAGACGATTCACAGGGCTTTGGGACTGGAGCACAGAGCAGCATGCAAACACTGGTTCATGGAAATGCCTCATAATCCTGGGTTTGATCCAGATGTGACTGGCAGAAAACCTGAAGCAGCTGTAAACTGGAGCAGCTTCAGCCATGCTCCTGTGTCAGTGGATCCATCCATGCTACAGAGTGGGCTTGGCAACTGGTGACAGTGTGGGAAGGACGGCCTGCACCTGAAACCTTCCCATCACCAAGAAGCAGAAAAACAACAGCAGTAGTTGTATCTCCATAAACCAGCCCATATTTCTTTCATTACTCTCACTCAAAAGCTTTGCACTGACAATGATTCTGTTTCACAGCAGATTAAAAGCTTTACACCTGCTGCCCAAAGCAATCCGTATAAAACCAGCCGGCTTTAAGTCAGCACTTTGCCTCCTGCAGAAGCAACGGCACAGGTTCATTTCTGCGCTGAGGTGCGGAGGCGATGAGCAGCTCATAGGGGTCTGGGCAGAGGTTGGAGGATGGTAAGTGGGTTTCTGAGGCCTTGTAGGCCTTGAGCATGCTGTTAGGTGTCAGCAGGCACAGGCAGCACACAAGTGGCGATTTGTTACCATGTTCTCCCAGCAGCCTTCTCCCTCATGGACGTGGCAGACATGCAAAAGAAGTTCTGTAGGGAGACAAAATCAAATAAACCAACGTGCTTTGGAAAGTAGCTTTCTCCTTGCCTGTAAATTTGCTCTTAACAAAATTCATCCTTCTTTTTAAAGTCTAGATGAAAAATAAGATCCCAAAGTTCTTTTGAAGATCCACGCATCAAATCCAAGACTTCATTTATCAACTTCTCTACTTAATGGCAGTTGAAATGTTACAGCAGCTGTAGCGCCTTGGAGAAGTGAGATTTGGGTTTGTCCACTGCCTACTGACATGTCCACACTGCTTACCACAGTCTGCAACCAGCAAGGGCACCTGGCGATCCAATACATTGGAAAAACATTGTTTAAAGCCTTTCAAAAATAGACACTTCTCAATCTACAAAGCAATTGGATTTACAACCAAGTACTTTCTAAAGACGCAAGAAAATCCCGTGCTGTGCAACAGTAAGGGCACACTTACTGACATGCACAGGCTCACATGAAGGATGTTCAGCTAACGTACCAGGCCAGCCAGCACTCACCTCTGTCCCTCAGGACAGCCCACAGCACCTCCTTCCCCTCACTGCAGGGCACACTGCAGCAGGGTTTGCTGCTGGGAGGTTGTGGCGTATCTGAAACGGAGCTTGTGCAAGCTCTGAGCTGCTGGCCAGCAACATGGAGCTGAGCAGGCAGCACCACAGCAGGTGGGATCAGACTTGCCCAAATTGCTATCCATAGAGTTAAAGCAGTGCTCACCTACTGCTGCCAACAGCAGCAGCTGCGCTGGCGTACGGTGCTACATCCTGCACTGCACCTACATCATTCCTGTATGTATACACACATACATGAACATTTACATACACAGAGAGAGAGAAAAAAGACTGACAAACCTGCTCTGAAAATGGCATGGGTAATCTAAAATGAAGAGGTGAGGTATCCATCTTAATACAAACAATAATGTTTATTAGTTGTTTATACAGCTCTAATACGCATCCAACAAGTCATGTTTTAAAGCTATACATACAGGTTACAATGGGGTTGCCTCTTGGAATTCAGCAGTACAAGGACCTCAAAAGCAAGTCTTCAACAGTACCTGTATTCAGACTAAGACTTTATGTACAAAGAAATTAGACAAAATATTGTTATTCCAAGGTCTGCATCACTTTGCATGACCCCAATAGTTTGCCTACACACATATATATACACACACACACCTGGAAAAAAATGCCTTCCAGTTCTGAAAAATGAGGCAAAAAGCAAGACAGAACAAGGCTGATAACAAGCATTGGCTCCCAAGATGTTAACAATTCTGTACTTTTGCATCTCATTCAATATCACGTTGAAAAAATGCATTAAATACTTGGAATAAATCAAAGTCCACTGTGCAACAGCAGTAATGGCGTGACTTGGACTTCTAAAAGTGGTAACAGGATCCAACAGTTAGGATGTTGTAACTTAAATACAATTAAAGAGAACACAGCAGTCTTCAACATTCACACAGACAAGAAAAATAAAGCCAAAAAGCAACACAGTATTTTTCTTTTTAAAAGCCCAATTCCACGTCCATAAGGAAGATGTTAGTGACTAAGGCAAGGCTCACTGCAGCAGCTCTGCTCTATGCAGGATGCTCAGCTGTTGGCTGCAGAGGGGAAGTGACTGGAGATCAGCAGTGGCAAACAGTCTTTATGTGCAGGAGTGAAGTTATTGTTCACTAACAACACAACACGCAGGAGTAAAACCCTCCCAAAATACTTCTGTGTATATTTTTCTGGACTACCGTAGCAATCTGTAGACTGGCATCAGACAGCAGGCAGAAGAACAGCACAGGAGAGCACTTTGCTGTCCATCAGGCCGCTGTAACAGAGGCAGCATGCAGTTACTGTACGTATCTGTGCTGGTGAACACCTGTCTGTGCGTTACTTTTATCTCAGAGATTATCACACGGCTACAAGCACTGTGCAGACAGAAATAGAGCAACAAGTCCAAAATTAACACCCACGGAACAAGATTGAATTCCAGCTCCAGCGCTGACCACCAGCATACCTTTGGAGCAGCCACATGCCTTTTTCTTTCTTAAAGCAGCTTCAATTTCATCCCGTTTGCTTTCTAAGCAGTTACCTGTAACCCCAACAGCCCAGGGCTGCACTACCAGCGTGCGACACGTGAACACACCACTACAACTCAGTATTTTCTGAAGGAAAAGAACATTCCACCATTAAATCCATTCTCTTTTCTATTTAAAACCAGCAGACGCATTTCTTACCAAGCGACCTCCCAGCATAAACCCCAGCAGCACAGCTTTGCCAAACAGTTCTCCACACCACATGATGCCTGGACAAACCCTTATAACCACGTGGGAAAAGACGTTTCCCTTCCACACAAGCAAGAGCTGTAATGCAAACAGCAAAATTCTGACCAGTGTTTTCATTTAGAGCAGTAAGGACTGGTAGTTTTCCCAAGGATAGCAGTTGTGAGGTTATAAATAAATGTGACTGCACACAGCCTCTTACCTGCGTGTGCCTCTCCAGCAGTTAAGGGCAAATCTGTGCGTGTTTCACCCCTTCAAACAAGAGCTACAAGAACAAGACGAGCTCCTTCCAGCTCCACTCACACTGGGTTTCACAAACCAGAACGACAGAAAGAGGTAAAGGGGGAAACAATTTGAGGAATATTCTGATAAAACTTCATTAAAAGTTATGCAAGAGAATCGCAACCGAACTTGGCTGTGCTAAATAGCTTCATAAAGTTGTAGATAGATCACTCTAATTGATTTGTTTATATTTAAAACACAGAAGTGCTCAAGCCAAGACAAACCAGCCCATAACTCCTCATATTAACTTGAAGCAATAATTTCACGTGTTCTGGAATGAAGTTTTATTGCAGTAGAGCTAGCCATGGATTTTAGGAATTTCTTTCAAGACAAAATTTTAAGGAAGAGAAGTACAAAATGCAAGCAAAGTAAATATGACCCTAGAAACATCATTAATACATAGCCACATGGATGTAACTTCACATACAAACTACAACAAAAAAACCCAGTGAGAATATAATAAACCACATCATTCACAGCCTGCATGGTGGGCCCACACTGCAGGACAAAAGGTTTTGGCAAAGCACACAGTAACAACAGGGGGGGCATGCTGAAAACACTCCGATCGAGCTCTGCATGGACACAGTTTGACCTGGCTCACCTAGCCCTCCTCTATCACACAGTTCTTGCATTTTTCAGCCTCCCCAATCCGAGTCTGTGTCTCTTAGCAGAAAAGCACATCTTCTCTTTGTGGCAGGAGACTGCTCTGCCCTCCATGGTGCTCGACACAGGAAACGTTTAGACAAGATAACACTGAGCTGATGGTGATTTGCAAAGAATGAATTACAGGTTTAAGGGAAAGCAGCATTTTCTGTATTAATTCAGTAGCAGACAAGCCTTCAAATGTCACTAATAAGAAAAGCTTAAAAAAAAAAAACCCAACCCAAACAGGATAGAGGTCAATATTTGGGGACGACCCTCTTATAAATAACGACCGCTATCCAATGTGAATTTCAAAACCACTTTCTGTACAATAGAAAAGTTAACCAGTAAAACCCCCGTAAGGCAAGGATGCCATGTCTGCTTATGAGTCTAAGCAACAATGCAAAACAAGTTAGTGGCAACCACTTATTCCTCCTTTTCTGCATTTCACATGCTCACTGCACTGACTTACAAAACACCAGGACTACATGCACAGACACTGGCCTTTCTTAGTGCCATTCTTCACAGCATCATGTCATTCTTAGCCCATAATGCTCCATGATGCACTGTTTAAAAGCTCAATACCACATTCATTTGAATTAGCTGAGAAACTACTTGTCAGATATAATTAGTCTGACGGTAGCAAAGTTAATGTTCTTATTAGCCAATTAAAAAGAACTACTTAAATAAGGAGGTTTACAAGACCAAGTATTCTTGGATTAATTTATTTTAACTCAGTTCTTTGAAGAAAAATCTGATAGACAAATGGATCCCTTCTTTTCACAAAGAAAGCTAGCTGTGTGATAAATGGAGAGTGCTTGGAATGTAGAGGATAGAAAGCTTCAAGAACTAAAATGTTACACCAGTCATGACAAAACTGGGGCATAGGAAGGGAAAGAACACTCGGTTTACAAACTGTCATAGATATGTGTCTATTTTAAGGTGAATGGAAAATTCAGCACACACAGAAAAAACTGATCAGTTCATTAGTTGTAGGCACTTGGGCTGCAGACACTGTAGTAGGTGCCTATCAGCTATGAGCACTCACACATGAACACGCATCTGGGAACACACTATTTAGTGCATAGGAAAACAGTAACCCTCCCTGAAACGAGGAAAAGAATCTTAAAAGGGAGGCCAAACAGATCTGTGTTAGAATTTCCCACTTTTCCTCACAATTAAAAACCTGTGTGATCTTCAGCTCACAGGAGAAACACTGAGCACAGCCAACGTGCCAACTCTGCCATGTGCTAAACCAAAAGAAACACCTTGATACTCAAAGACTAAAACATGCTGCACTGCTATTTTGTTTGCTGGTAAGGTGTTGTTCTATAGTACAAACCTCAATGACATGTTTTTAAAAGACACCTGCCTCCTTCTTAAATTATCCTAGGGATGAAGAACAAAGGGAAAGAAATCCAACACAGCGCAGAGGAGGGGAAACAGATGCAACACAAATCAAGATCACAACTCGCATTAGGACAATTGCTTCCAAATTATAACTGTGAGAAACTCTGTGCAGCACAGATAACTCGCTTTTCTATGAGCAGAGCTGTGCAAAAAGCCACGAATCGTCCTCCAGGGAAAAGAAAACAACTGTAAACAAGAAGTGCATGAAAAGGGCTTCAGGAGTTTGGCCTCTTTTCTCCTCCATGACCAAATGTAAGGATTCCTTCTATTTCATGACTAACTTGGAAAATATTTTTAACATGACTCGAAAGGCAGCATGCTTAGGAAAAGACCCAATGACAGCGTTGTGGCTGTGAAGGAACACACACGCACAGCCACCTCACGTTCTCCTCACAGTGTCAGTAAATACACTTGTTCTCACGAGGAGCCTTCTGGCAGACACTTCCACAGAGTCTTTCACCGTAACAGTGGGGTGCAGCCCTTTGCTTTCACAACTTTTGCTGTGCTTTCATTGAGATCACAACCACTGCTGGATGTGTTGGAACCCTGAACAGTTCCCTCTGCTCACAAAGATGTGATAACGGCTGCCCAGCTACTACAGAAACCTGTACAGACTGCACACCTAGCAGGTACAAGGAAGGCACATCTGCTTTTGCTTCCCAAACACTGCTGAAGAATGCTACAGACATGTGGTGTTTCAGTAAGCACTGTCACCACACAAGATTTTAGTAAATCTTCCCTCTAAATGCAGTGGCATGAGAAAGAGATAGAAAAGAAGCCTCGTGATTCTGTGTAATTATTAGATGCTATCATAGCTGGGTTAAGGCTGTACTGTTTGCAATCCAACTACTTACTTTTCAGATTACAAGCTCATAAGGACACCAGACACTGTTTTAACAGGCAGATCTCATGTGTGCAGTTACTCTCAGCTCCCTGCTGGGGTCGGCTGCCACTTGCGAGACAGAGGCGAAGCAAACCATGCAGTACCTTTGAAGGCACACAAAGTGGCAGTGGCCGGGATACTGAGGGGGAGAAGGAGAGTCAATGTAAATATAAGTCTGCAAATATATGTCTGGTTGCAATATATGCTACACCTGGAAAAAAAGACCACGCTTTCATTATCTGGACACTGTCCTACTAATTTAAGTGAAGGAATCAGCAGCAAATTCCATCAAGAAGTAGCCAGATAGAAACTGCTCCATGATATTTCCTCCGTGAACAGGAAGAACTTCTTGTCTTAGAAAACCACCAAAAAACCCAACACACAACCTTCACAGATTCAGGCAACAGTGTGCAGTACTCAAAAACGCTAAAGCAAAATAATTTGAAGGCATGAAAGAGAAGACAGAAGACTCAAAAACCAGACACATAGCTTTATAAGCATGTCTGCTTTTTCTTTAGGACTAGAAGATGTACACCTCCATTTTATATGCAAGAGTGCACAGAGCTTGGCTCCCAAAGATACCATCAGATAAACTGAGTAATTCATCTTTGCACTAAGTTGTTATTTATTCAAACATCTGTACATTTTGCAACACACCAGTATCTATGTGCATGTACCAGAAAGATATGCATGTACACGTTAAAATGCTTAATGATGACAGCAGGATCCCTGGCCAGTGAGCATCATAGATACCAGAAACACATTAAGAAGTTAAATTCTTTACCTGTCTTTGTTAAATACAGACCTTTGAAATTGCCTCCTTTTGTTTCCCACACATTCACAACACAATCCCCAGTGAGGCAGGCAAATGCAGAGCAGGTGCACTGACTACATTACCCCACAGCCAAAGATGAGCACATTAGAAAGTTCAATTCAGTTGTATGAGCTAAAAAGGGAATGGCGTTTTAAACAAAGCTTTATTTCATTTTACTGTACTCTTCCGACACACAACCCCAACATAAAAGCCTGCAATTAAGGCTACGTATCCTTTTTACAACGCTGGTAGTATTTCAAATCATCCAACTGCAGTCCCACTGAAGAGCCTGTGTCCTTTAACATGGCAATTCTGAGCCTCCGTACAGAACAACCAACCCATGAAATACTGCAGGGAGAAAAGACAACCACAGTGTTTGACACTTTCTTGTAACTCACCTGGGGACCGTGCAAGGGAGTTATATCCACAGCAAGTGCTGCCCTGGAACTTCTGTGGGAACATGATCAAGGGATCACTCACAGCTTTTCAAGTAGTGTCTTCTACTTCACTCCCCTTCCCCATCCCAATTCCAACCACTGCATATGGATATACACATACATTTGATGCTATCAAAGAAGTGCACCTCTTCCTCTGAAAAACACTACAGCATATGTCTAGTTTGTAGGATTCCACTGGGACTTTTAAACATACTTTCATCTCTTCTCTTTGGTTAAGGAAGGAAAAAAAAAAAACAAAACACCACAAACTTTTTCCCTTTATGAGAGCTAAAGGTACCTCTACAAGTCTTGAATCACAAATGAACATGTGCTGCCAAAGAAGTAAAGCAGTAGCATAGAACATCATGACATGCATTTTTTTGGAGTCATCTAATCCAATGATGATTAGGAGAAAATTTGTTTCAAAACTCTTTGGCAAATTCTTACTGTTTGCTGATGCTGTAATTTGAAGGTGAATCTGTATGCCCCAACCCACTATGAAAAATCAAACTGAAAAATCATGTGAGAAACAAGCAGTTTTCTTAAGAGAGAACTTGCTTTATAAAGTTGTGGTGAGCCAACTGTCTGATGGACATTACAGCCACACAGGTCATGAAGGAAAAGAAGTTGTGACATGGTGGCAATGTGAAATATTAGTACTGCTGTCAACATACTGATTTAGCTTTACACACTGGTCTGAAGAGATTGCAATTAACCTAAAATCGAGGTATAAATATACACAAATATGTACAGTACACATACAGGAAAATAGTTTTGCATTTGTAACATCAGTAACTTTAAAAATACTGGAAAGTTGATATCTATGCCATTGATTTGTTTGCTAATTTACTGAAATAATGAAGCCACATCTTTGACTAGGGAGGACTACAATGTAATAACAAAACCCCAAAGCATAAGTTCTTTCTCTTGCTTCATCTTCACCACACTCGGCATCAGACTGTTGTCAGTGGCTGCATCTTGGAAGGAAGGTGGATCACCACGAGGAAAACAACCTCGAGCCATCACCTGCATCTTTCTGCTGAACGGCCTGGATTTATATACATGTGTGTGTGCATCTACGTAGAAAATAAAGTTGAAATCAGTTCATTATAAATACACCTAACCCAGCAATTCTGCCACTGTGAAGGTAACCACAGGTACAGCTTTTTTTTTTTTTTTTTAAGCAGTCTCTGTGCAAAGGGGTCATTAAAAATCATCTGATCTTTAGTCTTGACATCATCCATTCGAGTCCTTGGCAGAGTCTGTAAACAAGAGAGAGAATGTGTAAGGAATGGGTGCACTCCTCAGGGTAACTTCAAAGATGATTACTTCCACAGCACCAATTTGCATGAACAATCAAATTCTTCTTGAGAACTCTAACTCGGACTGAAGGCAGCATTTCCAGAAACAATTCACTCTTTTCAGGTCTTACTATGCCATCTATGTGTAGAAGACTTCAGCTCTTACAGATGTACACTGAAGTTACCTCTAATTATGATTAGTCTTAATAGACCAATGAAAAACGTGAGGTTGTTCCTACACCCATCTTCATTAGGTCTCAGTCACTCAAAACTACACTTTGAGACTGCAAGTTTCCTGTAAATGTTGGTTACCAGATCTTTCTGTTCCAATGTCAGATTTTTGCATTCAGAACACAGTAAGTACAGCATTATCACTGAAAGGGGAGCAGTGTGTTAGAACTGACCACCACAGTAAAAATACCAAAATCATTCAAGACCGTCCTCTGCAGAGAATAACCCTTACCCCTCTCCAGTTAGAGCACAGCACGCCTGAATGTGCCACTGGTGATCCTTAATTGAAGTCAGCTTCAGAAACTGAGAGATTTCAGCCACAGTCATACATTCTTTAACATCTTGCTTGTTAGCAAAGATCAGCAAACCTGCTTTCTTCAAGTCCTTGGGGGGAAAGAAGAGAAAAGACTATTACAAACCTGCCTTCAAAGACAAAAGATGTGACAGCAAACCTGTGAGTTGTAAGCCCAAGCAAACTAGCTTACAAATGCTGCAGCCTCGTCAGTGTTTAACTTCTAAAAGGAAAATATTTTGACCTTGTTGATCAGATGTCCAACTTTTGCCTAAAACTACCAACGCCATCCTGTTGTCCTGTGAGGATCAGGGCACCCTGCATCTCTGTCCTGAGCACAGCACGTGCAGTTACATCACCCGTCTGTTTCAGAGTCAAGGTCTTCTGCTTTAGCCTTTCCTTGCAGGGAGCTCCTGCCTGTATATCTGAAGCAGCTGCTCTCCCTCCCTGTGCCTGGCTTTTATACACACCGTGCTTTGACACATATCAACTTTCACATACATGCACACTGTGAGATTGGTGTTAGTGCCAAACCAGCAGTCTGTGCCACGGTTCTTACACAGAACCAATGCCCCAGTAGTTCTCCAGCACTGGGAAAGCCTCACCCAGCCATCCTCTGCCATGGAAATCCCACCTCTGAAGCAGCACTGAGACTGTCCCTGACAGTGTAAAGCAAGCTGCAGTAACATTTCATCTATAACATGTTCATCGTTTGTGGAACATCATCATTCACATGACTTCAGAATCAAAGCACAGGCATCTAAATGAACAAGCACATTGAATAATTGTCTTGATGGGGATCTAAAATATTCAAAACATTGGTTCTAACCATTTAGAGAAGGACAACTCTAGGACCAAGCTTGTTCTATCTCAAGCTGCTTTGAATTACATTAGTACAGACACATAGTGCCCCTCTGAAAGTAACAAGGTCTTCCCAGAAAGCCATTCACTTAAATGCCTATTAGGCACACTAACTTTTACAAGCAGTAGCATTAATTCCCATGGGATCCTCTGGTCCAGAAAATAGCTGGAACTGACTTGGGCAAGTCAATTTTACCTTAGCAAACAAATCCAACTGAACTAGTTAGCAAAAATGAGAACTTTTCAAAGACTGCAAAGAACAGCTATTCTGTGTACGTATTTGATCTCCATTCCAGGTTATACGTATCATTGTTCTTTCCAAGTGCTGTAGCACCTGCAGGGTTAGCAGAATATACTGACTACAACCTGCTGCAGGCAATAGGCACACCTCCTGTTGGATGTGTGCTGTCTGGGTGCAGAAGCAGCCTCCCATCGTGAAGCAAGGGCATTCGCACTGCTTAGAGTTCCGAACTTCCTTTGTTTCAAATACAGTTCATTAACAGCTTCCGCACCCTCACTTGCAGATTATGAAACAGAAGATGCAGATTTTGTTTAGCTAGTGCAACAGACAAAATAGTACAGCTGAGAAATTCTAATGCTGACAGCAGACTCGATGGCAGCGGTCCCTGCGCTGCATGCAGTGCTCTGCCACAACCAGGCAGAAGGTGCAGCTCTGGGACTGCTCCTGCCCTCTGCTTTCACCCAGCTGGCTGAACATTCACCACACACTGACCTGAGCTAGCAAAACCAAAACCCCACAGCTAGCCACAGACCTTCATTGCTAGCACAAGGACAGCCTGAAGGAGAGAAATGAAACCCGTAGCAGCAGGACCTTGCAGCAGCCAAGCCTGTATGAGCTCACACAGTGCCACAGATGAGACAGACTGGCCCGCCTCCTTCCCTGCCACCCCAGCCTTCCTGGGAGACTTGCATCTTGAGTCAGGGTTACTTCTGTAGAATTTGCACCTTTTGAGCATCACAAAATGCAAAGTTCCAGACAAAGCATGGTCTCTTTCAAGAAGCTAAACCGAGCTGCCTCTGAGCATGGAGGAAAAAGCAGTTTAGATTAACTAGAACCTGCACATCAGCTGGACACTGGCTGAGGTTTACAGTTCAAAGTTCTGCAAAACAGTTGCCTAAAATCCCAAGGTCATGGAATAAAAACAACAACATTTTGGAAGGACACCTATGTCTCAGAAAAAGCATTACCTGTCCTGTGGCTCACAGCTAATTACACCAACCTTACTAAGAAAGACATTCAGTGACATGTTAAACACTACTCGAATTTAAATACAAAAGGAAAAAAAACCATCAAGACACTGAAGAAAGGTCTTGGTTGTTTCTTCAATGCTACCATGATCATTCACAGGAAATACATATATTTACATACAGAGATATAGATAGATGCAGCCTTGGGCCTTTCTGGAGTTACCTGCTAAACAGTGGTGATAGTTTAAATATAGATGGAATATTTTGGGATATAATGCCATCAATTCTATGCACATCTTTGTATTCTGACACTTTTAGGTTTGGAAGCTCAGTGTCCTCAATGTCAGCTCATACAAACTGATCCCATTTGCATTAAATTTGCTGCTCTTACATATCAACAGCAGAAGTTAAGCTTATAGAAGCACATATTCATTTAAACTCCACCCTCTGGTCCTGCACCACTTCATGGGCAGATAACTTACATTACACTGCACTGCTCCTTGGCTTTCACAGTATGAGAGCACTTACAAATCAGAAACAGACAGTCCCATTTTAGACATAACACAGCACTCTATTTGAAAGAGTTTTCACAAGCTAGCAAATCACACTCGTTCTGTGAGTTCAAGCTGATGTAGAATGATAGCTACTACAGCTTTCTCACACATTTTCATAGAGTCACAGAATGGCCTGGGTTGAAAAGGGCCTCAAAGATCATCCAGTTTCAACCCTCCTGCCATAGGCAGGGTCGCCAACCACCAGGCCAGGCTGCCCAGAGCCACATCCAGCCTGAACTTTAAGAGTTTACGTCACGCATTTTGCATTACTGCAATTATCCCAATTGCTGTCTGGTTCTTATTGCAGAGGTTTCCTTTGAAGACTTAACAACCTAACAGCCACAATGAACAAGAATAAAGGCACAGCGTAACAGCCTTTCTTCAGCTACTGCAGGTCTTCAAGACTTACACTTAAAAAAACACGTACATCATTTCTAAGTGCCAACTTCTGTTTTGATGAAGCACTCAGAAGCTGCAAAGTTACTTTTATAAATTAATATGAAATCACTGATCTCCCACAAATGTACTGGGAGTTTCACAACAGACAGAGCCTCTAGCAAAAACCAGACAGTCTGACAGCACTGCCCATAGCCAGGAACATGGCTGTTAACATTAGCCCTGGCTTCCAACTGAGCCATGTGCCCTCTCTGGTCTGTCTCCCACCATCAGACTTAAATGGCATTCATAAATGAAGCTCTCACAGACCAGTTTCCTGATCCACATCTTAGCCATGAATATTGCAACAAAGAAGATTCAGGATCTACTCACCTCGTGCGCTAACATCTTATACAGTTCTTCTTTAGTCACCGAAATCCTCTCTCTGTCTGTGCTGTCCACGACAACTATTACAAACTTTAAAAAGCCAAAAGTTAGGAGTCAGCATTTCAAAGAACATACTGCTTCCTTCTGGCCACGCGTGCATACACAGATCATTGCTCCCATCAGGTTATTCAGACAGCCAGCAGGATTATCAGGAGTCTTGTCCCCGATGCAGAGCCTGGCTGGTTACCCAAAGCACTGCTATGGTTAGCAGTTTAGCCAGTGCTTTGTATACAAAACAGCTCTGAGGAATCTTTTCTGACCTCCACTTTCAAGTGAAAAATTTATTCTGAGAGCAAGCCCTTGTCAGCACCCCAGATCTGGCTTTACTCTTTGCTTCGCATAACTGAGGTAACACAGAGATTGCCCAGATGATTTGTTACTTCCGTAAGAAGGTGAAGTGTATCAGCTTCCTCCCTTTGTTTCAAGCTCTAACATGAAAGTAGGAATTCAAGGGATTTAAAAACATTTTTAAAAAACCATAAATGTCACAGTTCAAAAGTATACGTGCATATTCGTGTCACAGTGCCTTCTAGTGAAGCACAGGAAAACAAAGACTAAAAAGGTTAACCTTTTAAAGAAAACAACATCAATAAAACCACAACTGTTATCATGTAGGAAATCTTGAAGCACGATTTTAATCAACTCCAGCGTATGCGCTGCAGCTTTGTCACTGAGCTGCTCTCAAAACTCTCGGGGTGCTTGAGTGAATTGATCATAGGAGCCTGCAAGACAGAGCTCCTGGTATCAGGACTTCAGGCCTTGCTCATTTTGGGGATACACAGGCTTTGAAGCACTGCTACAGAGAAACAGCTGTTACAGTAGGAACCTGTAAACACGGGGATGTGCAACACCTGCTCCAAGGCCACGGATCCCCAGACACGGGGTCCTTGAAGTTACTTTAAAGTGCGTTATGAAAGAACAGAAGGGAGTTGTGATTGTGAAGCAGGCTGCTGTACAACACAAGCACCCTGGAGCTGCTACACAACACTCAACGCGTGCAGTGCAGCTCCCTGGGAGCGCGCCATGGTTCTGTAGGTTCTCTCCTTCTGGGCAGCCATTCGTTCCCACAGGCCTGAGGGCAGGGCCTGGGCTCTCACCTCGGTGTTGGTGTAGTAGGTGTTCCACGAGGAGCGCAGCGACTCCTGCCCTCCGATATCCCACATCAGAAAGCGCGTGTTGTTGACCACGATCTCTTCCACGTTGCTGCCTATCGTAGGTGAGGTGTGCACCACTTCGTTCATGGAGCTGCAGGGAGAAGAGGTCGGCTCCGTCACGCGCGGCCAGCACTGAACCTGCCTCCGTGACACTAAAGCTGATGGTTTCTCCAAGGTGGAAAGCTTAATGGGGGAACTCTAGCAAAAACCTCTCATGCAAAAATAGGGACAAAGTCGGAGGAGAATAAAAATGACCGTAAAGGAGGATTTGGTGACCTATATAACAGTTAAATTATAAAGCTGAGAGAGCAAGAAAACTATTTTATAACTCATTAAATCGCATAAAGCTGAGGGAGCATTTGCTTCAGAAAGCGTTTCAAGCAGCCAGCTCTTGTTTTTCCAGGCTGCTTTTGGCACGATGCAGCATGGAAGAGAGCAGTTGCTTTTCTTCAAGACTATGGTTAAGCCACAAGAATTCCAAGGTTGCAGAAAAACAACTGCTCATCCAGCTCCACCAAACACAGGGTTGGACAGCACGCACACTGCTCCTTCACACTGCAGTTACTTTATGTCCAGACTTCCTTCTGTCCAGCAAATGGAATCTCAATTGTGGAGACGAATGCTGATTAATTAAGGTTGAGAAATACATTGGTTTAGAGATACTTAGTGCAACTCTGTCATTAAGGCACATAAAGAGTAATAACCAAATGTGCATTCTGGACACTCTTCAAGTTATTTAAGCCCTACTGAAAGGGACATTAAAAAAAATAAATAAACCACAAAAGAAGCTTTAAAGGAAAAGATCAATCTTTTTCAAGAGTTTAATTATTTTTTCTTCTGATAATCATGATCTTCTTTTTCCACTTTATATATATACATATATATACACACTTTTTAAATACTTCAGCAGAGCTTTCAGTTATAGAGACATCAATTTGAGACTTGTAACAGTACTGGGCTATTTACTGAGGGATAAAAGGGCAGCGTAACATTGTGAGAATGAACACCAGCTACTCAATGTCTTAGCACCAAGACAAGGTATTTTCTCATCACACAAGTTTGGGGGAAGCTAAGATTGGGGAAAGAGAAGTATTAGAACAAGAAAGAACAGTAAAATGAAATTAAGGCAAACAATGGTAACAAGATGCCTCCGGCTGATTTAATATTTCACAACCAGGTTTCAGCAGAGTTCTTTTAATGCTTGGGAAAGGCATTTCACAGCTCCCATTTCCCTGGCTGAACCTGCAGCCTTTCACACTCAAGCTGTCAGCAAGTCTCTGTGTGCAACATGATAGGTGGATTTTCTTTCCTCCTCCCCACTGAAACAAGGTTAGCGTGGAGCTTCATGGCATTTCTAGACAACAGAATGCCAAATCCTGCTCAACAACGAGGGAGGGAGAGCTGAGTATGAGAATGGAAAGAAAGAAAGAGTCTGTAGGGCTGCCACGATCTGCTGCAAGAATCACTGCTCCAAAGTGCTGTGACCCTCCACGACATCAAGCACCAGTCAGCACACAGAGACACTGCTGCAGTTATCTCTGCCCATTTGTTCCAAAAGTCAAACATTCATTCTTGCTCAGAACGCTTATCTGCCACGGAGAAACTGTACAAGGAAAAATACAGCGGGCAAACATTTCTGAAGCAAGAGGCAGGCAGGAGGAGCAGCAGATCAGACCCATCCAGAGCAGCACCCTTCAGCTAGCGAGAAGGGGAAGTCCTGCAATGCCAAAAAGGGTACAGAGGAAAAGGAGGCACACAGCCATCCACTGTACAAAAGGGAAAAAGAAAACACTGAGATGGCAGAAAGAAGAAGATGAAAAGAATCATGAGACACTGGTGGAGGAAGCGAAAAGACACAGGCAGCTTTGTAACACACCAAGGATGGCCCTCAGCAGCAACAGTTACCGCTCTTTAAAAGATTCCACTTCATTCTATTAATTTTTTAATACTGAAAATATTTTCTCACTCTCGGTTTGGTAATAACAGTGATCCTTGTACTTTCACTTTCACCTGTGCAGCTTGCACAGGGCTGGAAACACCGCATAACTTTCACATTTCAGAAAGGCAAAAGCCAATCAGTTTGTCAAAAGAAATATTCACCCCTGCAACATTTTAATGTAGGGTTGGAGAAGGAGTGCTTCCTAGCACCAGGCTGCCTGCTGTGAGAGAAGGCCAATCTGCTCCTGCTATGAAGAGGCCTTGAGCTGCCTGTTCCACCTGCAGTTTCCGAGCCCAGGCACAGATCTGCAGCCCTTTATCAAAGCACCGTGGAGGACAAGCGATACGGAGCCCATGCAGGTTCCACAGACATCAGCAGCAAGGCTGAGGCACGACAAATACAAGCCACAAACAGCTCAACAGCAACAAACACTGCAAGGCTTGCTGGTGGCTCAGCCCTCCCTCACCTCCCAAGGTGGGCAGGACACAATTTGAGGCAGGGAGAGGTCAGGCTTTGGTGCTTTGCAACTCACGAAGAATGGCACAGTTACACGCTGTGGCATGGACCAGCACAGCAGCACTGTGCTGTGGCTAACCCTCAGTGTAACCCTATTTTATGGAGCTGGCAGACAGCCTGTGCTGTGACACCAAAGGCAGCTGTGATCAATTGTAATAGCAAAGTAATTTCGTAAATAGTTTTCAACAAAACCTTATTCACACATCAGGAGGAACACAGACATTTCCAAACTCTGATCTCAGCGCCACCTATCCCATAATTTCCAGCACGGCGATCTCCAAGCAAAAAGAAAGATGGAACGCAGTGAAAATAAGCCAAAGCAATGCACACAACACACACCTTGAGACACACGAAACACTGCTGCAGTTCGTACTTACAATTGATAAAGAATGGTAGTCTTTCCTGCATTATCCAGACCAACAATGATTACTTTGTGCTCTGAAATAAAAATACAACCAGTAAGTCACATTGTTAGCTCTGCTATCACAACAAGGACTGCGTTACAAGGCAAGGTTCATGCTGCGCTGCAGACGGATCTCCCTATCTGTTTGTTCCCTATCTGCACACCTGAAGGAATAATTTCTAAGATATGACATGTGGATTTCTTCCTTCTCTAAGCTGCTGAGCATGCTTTCTGAAGCTTCTATACTCCTGCAGATCATAATAGACTGCATTCTCTGCTGCCTCAATTATAGCATCTCTCCAGAATGCTCACACAAACCAAGCGTGCCTTTCCAAGGCCATGCTACTATCACAGCCAGCAACTTCTTCATCTCTTTCTGAGCAGCAGTTAGAAAGCAGCAGTGCTGCCTGCAGGAATATCCTGCAACACATAGAGCGCTGCTCCTCACGCTACAGAATCATTAAGGTTGGAAAAGACCCCTAACATCATAGAATCACAGAATGGCCTGGGTTGAAAAGGACCTCAGTGCTCACCCAGTTCCAACCCCTGCTGTGTGCAGGTCACCAACCAGCAGCCCAGGCTGCCCAGAGCCACATCCAGCCTGGCCTTGAATGCCTGCAGGGATGGGGCATCCACAGCCTCCTTGGGCAACCTGTAACAGTGCCTCACCACTGGATCACCAAGTCCAACCATACAACCACCACGTGTCCTGTTTCCCTTTTAGCAGCTTTGAAACACAGAAAGGAGATTTGCCTACGTCTGGCAGCTCTCCTTCACCCAGTTTGGTTTTAGACAAACGAACCGGTACAACAAAAAGCTACTCCAGCACTTAGCGCTCGTGCCAGAACTGCTGATCGTTTCTGCTTAGCACCTTCTTTCCTACGCATCACAGAAGGAACCTGAACTCTACAGGCGGCGTTGCCCATCACACTCAGATGTGGCCTAGCACACTCAGATGTGTGTTTCCCCCCCAGCAGCCCGCCCAGGCTCCGCACCCCAGAGCTCAGCTCCCGGAGCCGGGATCCCTGGGAGGACGCATTCAGGCAAGCGAGGTTCCTCGGTTCCGATTTAACCGACATGTTGCGGTTCCGCAGAGCAGCCTCGTACCATCGTCACACGGACAGCCCGCTCGGCACAACACCGAGCCAACACCGAAACGCGGCCGGGCAGGACGGCTCGCTCCGCAGCGCCGACTTCGCTCACGGCGCCGCAGCCGTAAATGATCCCCTCGCGGAGCCCCCGGGCCCGGCCCCGCCCCGACCGCCCGCGCCGACGGGCCCGGCTCCGCTCGCCGCTCACCCTGGTGGTTGAACAGCCTCCAGATCCTGGTGAAGAGGATCCCCATCCTCGGCCCGCTCCGGCCGGCGCCGGCTCCTCCGCACCCGCCGCCAGGGGCTGCCCGAGGCCGCGGCCGCCTCAGGGCCCGGCCCGGCTCCCGGCCTGCGGGAGGAGCCCCCCGCGCCGGGCCTGCTCGCTCTGCGCACTGCGGGCCG